CGACTGCTGAATTCTGCTCTCTCCACAAACTCAGGCTCGTTTTATTGACACACATATCCAGGGGTGGTACATATCAAGCAATACAGACTTCATTTGTTCTGCACACAGTCATACATTCTTTTTGGCAACTGTATCTACACCGTTAGTTTCTCATCCCGTTCTTATCGTGCCCAGGTGCTGTTGTTGGGGCCTTGTGTTCTAACTATGAATCCAGCCATTGTCAAATTGTATTCTAAAAGTTTCTGTTTCCCATCACACCAAGTACTCCTCTTTTCACAACCAACCTTGGTTTTATCTCAACCTCGCAGCTCCTTCTCTACATCTGCATGTTTTCAGTTCTAGCTTTAAGCAGCATTTTATGTTCAAGCTGGTTATATGTTTAAGCACATCTCTTATGATTATTTATTCTATTATAAAACATGATTATATATGTTGCATACTTCTATAAAATACGAACACATGAATACATTTCATCCACACATGCTATTTCAAATGTTTTAATATATTTTTGTTTTTCCATGTACATGTTGAGAAACGCTGTTACAGTGACCTTCTACAATAACGTTAGTTATAAGTTTATGGTGAAAGGCTACTATTGTTTTCTTCAACTGTACCTTTAACTTTTACAGTGATAACGCAGTTGCTATGTGTCACCTGTTTATGTGTCTCAGCCGGCACGGTGGTGACGGATGGTTTTAAATAAACAGTGTCAAGAAAGGTTGAGGTCAGTATCCAAAGGTCATAATCCAAAGGTCATAAAACGAGTGTATCATAGCAGGCTATAAAAATATAGTTCCGCATTTTGGCTAAAAGAAAGGGGAACATGTGTCGAAATGTGTTACAAAAACATGTTGAGACGTGTCTCTGATCCAGGGAAGTTCAAAAGGTCAAAAAGTGTTTTACCAAAACATAAGATTAGGGGAAAGAATACAGTGATTTAAGAATACAGTGATTTATATAATGAAGCATAGAAAGAATGTGTGAGTTCTTGAAATAAAATAATTTATATTTTTTGAATATATCTGCAGGTAACGCAATATAGGGAAAGTGTCTGAATAAGACTAAAAGAATGATCCTCTGACTAGAAGTGATTGATATAAGACAGAGTCAGAGGAAGTGCTTAATGCTGAAATCAATGAGTTAAGAAATGTTGTGATTAACATTATGATCTTAAGAAATGTGTAATAAATGAAAAGAAGTGCTGTGGTACACTGTCAATCTTAAGAATAAAAAGGAGAAGTGTGTGAACTGTTGGAAAGTTAGGGACAGATACAGGAAGGATGTTCAGGACATGACTCACATAGTGGTCAGGTCATGACGCACATGATGGACACAGGTGTCCAGGAAAGGCCTAAAAAAGAGTGAATGATTCATCTAAAAGGAAAAAGTGTTTTTTACATGCTGTACTGTATAAATACAAGGTGTAAGAGCTAAACAGTTCAGTTCGTGTTTCATCTCTCCCCCGGACGGACGGGACTCACGCCAGGACCCTGTCATGCCCCAGGAAAGGAGGATTGTGGACTTGAAAGAACTCACGAGAGAAGCAGAAGAGTAAGCCGGAGTGAAGAAGGATTATTTCTCCGAGTTTGTTTTGCCACAATAAAGAATTGGATTATTTCTCTGCTTCTTCTCGCCACAACTGCCATCGGACCACAAGAGTGCTTCGCCCAGGGGGAAGCAGCCCCGTACCGGGCGGCTTAGGGCGTCGGCTCTTCCTCAGCAGTGAGGACTGAACACACCGAGGGCCTAAGGTCGTGTCCTCTCCTCTACTACACCACCAGTAGGCAACAGGTTCAGAATATAATTTTATTTTTGACACAACACCACAGCACATTTATGTTATATTTTGATCTGTCTATTATACTGAAGTGATTGAATGAGTGTCTACATTATTTTTACAAATGGCTGAAATTTGCTTATGTGCTGTGCCCTATTCATTCCCATAAATAAATTCTTATGAAATTAAAATCATAGATTGAAAGAAATTTTGTTACATCATACATCGCCTTGCATACAGTAAATCCAGGGTCTTACGCGGTTAACATCATAGAAGATTCACCAATTTTTTAAGGCTATTCTCTGAAAAACCCAGTTACATGCCCCTGACACCGTTGAGGTGTTTAAAACCCTTTTCCGGCAATCAACAAGTGCCAGGATCATGAGAGGTGAGCTGTCATGAATGAGTGTGGTCGCGTGGAGCACCCCGAGCCCCAGGCTGTTCCTCGGTAGTGCACGTGCGGCGGCAGCGGGGCGGACACCCAGACGGACGACAGTCAGGAGCCGGACGAATCACCTCGACCATAGGCCTACGCAGGCACGTGGGTGACCGGAGGAGGGTCTCGAGTGAGGGACCCGGGGAGCGAAGTGGCACAGCCAGCACCCACTCCGGCCCCACGGGTCCTTACCCCTTACACGGAGGGCCTATCAAGCTGCGGGTGGGCCCGTAGCCTGGGATCTAACAACAGGTGGATTCAAAGGGAGATTGTGCCACATTGCACATTTACACACACATACTCAGGGATCTCTGCAGGCCATTGAAGCGTGAGTGGCAGCGTGTGGGTGACGAGTGAGCCTAATTATGACAGGCCGAACAGTGACTCTGCTGAGTGAGGCTGACGCGTCATCATCACCCTGACTTTCCCCCCTCAGCTGCAAAAAAATATCATGTCAGATGTTAACGCAGGCGTGTCCAAGACAAGACAGGGTTTTGGGCCAGCCGCAGCCCTGAGATGGGTTCTTTGTGGCTTATCACTTTTATTTATTCTCCATGTTTTAGATGCTTCTGAGATATCTTTAGTTAATTTAAGCCACTTGTTCAATGTTTGAACATCTGGACCTAACCTTTACCGTAGATGCCATTTTTTTATATTTATAAATGTGGTTAACTTTTAACCAGTACGCTATATCATTCTAATAATGTGTTTATCTAATTTTCACCTGCATTCACGTTTAAGGCTTCATTTTGGAGTTGGTCAGATTGTGGCCCAGCATGAACAGAACTAAGTTATTTGTTTAAACCAAAGAAACATACAAGAAGCAGACAAAAAATAGCAATATAAAAAATACCTTTGAAACAAACAAGATGTAAACAAATACATTTAAAATGTGTACATCCAATGTACAGTAGATTTCGCAGTGCATTGTGGGAAACATAAAGTGCCCGATTGTTGTGTTTTGTCTTCCAATTCTTTCCATCATGGACCTCGGTTGTGGCCCACGACACCAAGCCAATGTGTTTACATGTTTTCCAGGAAGAAAATCCAGTTTGTCAGAATGTTGTCAAGCAATCAATGATTTATTAAAAAGAAGCAAGATATTTACCCGTTATAAAATGGCTCAGTAGTCTGCAGACGATACAGATGATTGGTGCACTTCACTACGTGCAGGAGCTCCTGTTCCCAAATGGCCGCTGGCTTCACTCCCAGCAGCTGGGTGTTTTTCTCTTCTTCCTCATTCTTTGTTAATTATACTTTTGCCCCACCTAGTTTTGGTGGGTCTCAACCAATAAAGCACAACCAGAAGTTGTAGATTCCAGATTATTGGACATCATTGTTGATTGACAGCATGGCCTTTGATTTACAGTGTCTCCAACAGTAAGCGCACACACCTGTTCTTAATCCCCTTTTTTCTCCTTATTGAGAACAAATATTCCAGTATATAGTTACCAGAAGTTTCCATTAAACAAGATCTTAAACTGGTGTTTATCATTATATGCCCTGAGTAAAATGTTTTACTGACTTTACAAATGAAGTCAGACATATCTTAATTACATTTTCTCATTTTCATGCGGAGTTACATCCAGAGTTTTCAGTCTGATCCTACTATTAGACTTCAGAGCCATAATCGGAAGCCAGATGGCTTAACTAAAACATGAATTTCCTTAACTTTATATTTAGTTTATTAATACGCCCCGCAGCATCTTGTTTTAATTAGCATCATGTAACAGAGCCCCATGGTGCTTTGGCTCAGAGGCAATGCATCTGTTATTGGTTAAGGTTCACCTCCTGTGCAAGATCGAATCCTGGTTAGGGCGGTTAGTACCTTCCAGTGGACTCACCACCCACAGGAAGGTTCAGGAGGGTTGGTACGGTGCAGTGTGATTTGGGTGGCGGTTGTGGAGACTGCTGCCTCTGCGACCTGGTAACGGATAAGCGGACGAAAATGGATGGATAGATTGGTAACAGAGCCCTAAAATTGCACTTGCACTGTAGTGTCTGCATCTGTATTTACCAGAACATTTATGAAATGCTGCCAGATGACAAATAATTGATGAAGGTCAACCAGTTCTAGCTGTGACTCATGTCACCAAATGACCTGCTCCAGGTGGGCTTAATACCCTACAGGGTGTTCTGTCTTAACAGCAGATTCCAGACCGTCTCTTCTGTAGCAGTGGACTTTTTTCATTATTTTCTAGGACTCTTGCTAAAGACTCATTTGGATGTTTCTATAGTGTGGTGGGTTCAAGTCTCAATGGAATCATGTACTTAATCCCCCTTGTGTAATTCGTTTTGGATATCAGTCAGCTAAGTAGTATAATTGGTTTTAAATTGCAGGCTTGACTAAATAATTCACAAGGTTTTGATACATTTTGGGCTTTTTGGATACGTTTTTAGATTAGTTAATATCTTGTTTATTGTTTATTGTTATTTTTTGTATCATATTGACACTTTTAGACTTTCACATGAATCTTCTCCCTACACTTCCTTCTACTTAAAGATGTGTAACATTGTGTTTTTTTAAATGGTAGTAATAATAAAAGATTCGCTTCCAAAATGTCAGTGCGCAACTGCTTCAGGTTTTTCACTGACACACATACTTTAAATACAGCCTTCATCTGATGGTGACGCCAGGCGAAAGAGAGAGAGAAAAAAAGAGAGGGAGAACTAGAGACCACCCCCTATCGTTTAGTCCCGCCCACACCAGGGACGCAGACCTTTTTGATTGGACGTCGGCTCCTGCTCTGAAGTCCCTCCTCTCACGTCCACAGTATGAGGATCAAGTGAGAAACTGCAAGCAAACAGACACACGGAACGGGTGACACTGACGCACTGCTCTGTCTGCAGGGATATTTCTTCACTCTTGTTTCTTTAAAGGATTACATAGCTTGATATTGAGAAGTCGAAAAAGGATGACAGTTTGGCTCGGACGCGTAAAACGCGCTTTGCGCACAAGCCCGTTTGGATTAACCGCACTCTTCTTGCCATATGCTTGAATTTTTGACATGATGACGTCTGATAATCTATGAATTCATCCCTACATCCGCTTCTCACATGTTTCCGACACACATCGCAACCCGATCCTGATGAAAGATCCCCCGGTGGAGTTGAACCGCTTTTACGCAGCGAATCCCCGGAACGCAGCGCACCCCCCCCTTACAGCGGACAGGAGCGGAGAGGCACTCTGTTCTCCCACCCACGTTCTGTCCTTCTCTCTCGGATCTTTTGCGTCAAGCTAATAGGCTTCCAATCCGGATTGTAAAGATGTTGACGGCGCACAGCGGCCACTTACTGCACCCGGAGTATCTCCAACCCCTCACCTCCGCTCCAGTCAGCATTGAAGTGCGTATATATTTTTTAAAACTTTAATTTTATGAAATCTTTTTAGAATGCATTTTTTGTTTTATAGATATGAATTACCCTAAATATTCTTAAATATTAAGACATGTTTTCCCTATTTTGATGGAAAATGTTTTTACGCCATTTTTCGTATGGCAGTAAAACAGAAACGCGTCGAAATGTCATTAATAATCTCAGATTCATTGTTGTAAAAACGCAGTGTAATTGAATGTTATTGTTTTTATTTTTCTACAAATAAATATGCATTTTTTAATTTGTGTTGAGCTGTACGGAGTGGGAGATTTCAGATGTCATTACTATTTTTGAACATATGGTGCTTAAATTGAATTAAAAGAAACAAAAACAGTTTGTTCACCGCCCTGCTCTCCATTTTCCTCCTCAGCTGGATGCCAAAAAGAGTCCTTTGGCTCTCCTGGCCCAGACCTGCTCTCAGATTGGCAAACCAGACCCTCCCTCGTCTTCCAAATTGGCCTCCCTCTCCTCTAGTGGTTTGGGAGACAAGGAGTCTTCCAGCCGTTCATCCAAGAATGGAGAGCAGCACCAGTCCCTGGAGGATAAATCAAGTTTCAAGCCTTACTCCAAGTCATTAGGAAACTGTCACAAGGATGTTCTGGTAACAAAAGGGCCTTCAGACAAAGCAGCTTTCAGGGTGCCAACTGAAAGATCCAGTGGTAGCAATGGTTCTGTGTGTCCGTCCATCCCTCCCCATTCCCAGTCACCAACTTCCAGCTCTCCTCCTCTGCATGCCCAGAGCCAAACTCAAAGACAAAGCCATTCCCCCTCCACACAGCCCCTGCCACACTCCCAAGCTTCACACATAGACAACAAACAATCAAACTCACAGCTGGCCAGCACAGACAACAGCAATAGTGCTGGGAAAAAAGACTCAGATTATGCCAAATCAGGTATGGATGGGGCTCAATTAGCCAATTCCAGCCACATCCGGGCCAGCACCAACTCTAGCAATGCCAGCTCTGCCAGCAGCCCAAGGCCTGAGAGTAAGACTGCAGACCCACAGGCCTCTACACAGGCAACATTGGCACCTGGGCACATCGCCCCGGTGTCTCCCTTCAAGGCTGAACATTCTGTCTTCCCTCTGCCTCATGGCTCCATGGGCTACCACGGCTCCATTGTCGGGGCCTATGCTGGCTACCCGTCTCAGTTTGTGCATAGTTTGGATCCTACAAAGTCCACTTTGGGAATGGGACTTACAGCCAAACACCCCAGCTCCAGCCCACTGACTGGAGCCTTGCCTCCATCACTGATGCAGGGCTTATGCGGGGACCCCTACTGCCTGACTTACCCCAATGCACCAGGAAGTAACTGTTCCACGTGTGTTCATGACCCGTCCAGTCTTAAGTCTGGTTTCCCCCTGTTATATCCCTCTCATCACCTCTACTCCTTACACTCTTGTCCCCTCACCTCCACCACCACACCACCCCTTTCCCACCCTATTTACACTTATGGTTTCATGCTTGCCAATGAACCGCTGCCACATGCCTGTAACTGGGTGTCTGTTGGGGGACCCTGTGACAAGCGATTTGCCACATCAGAGGAGCTTCTAGTCCACTTGCGTACCCACACAGCACTACCAGGGATGGTGGACAGTAAGCTGTTGTCAGCCTACCCTTCATCTGTTTCATCTTCTGCATCCTGTCACCTTCACCTGCCTCCACACAGCAGCCCAGGTACTCTACCCAGTTTTTTCTCCCTCCAAGGCTCCCCAGGTTTGGGTCTAGCACGGTACCATCCCTACAGCAAATCCCACCTGCCTGGCGCCCCAGGTCTGCCCATGCCCTCCCTTAAATCTTCATCCGCTTATTACTCCCCTTATGCCCTCTACAGTCAAAGACTGGGCTCGGCCTCTGCACTTGGATACCAGTGAGGTCTGAAGTGGCGCTGGCCACTATGGATTTCAGGCACAAGCTTAGACTCTTCAGAGCGAGCCATGAAGACTGAGTGTATAAACTGGGGTCAGGGTCTGCGTAGGGCATCACTGCTGCCAGGACAAGCACCTGTTAGCTTTAGGATTGAGAATGACTATCCAAAGGCAACAGTGCAGCTGAGTGATTGTCTGCAGCACAGAACTTATAGAACAAACTCCAGTATTTGGTGTGAAGCAGAGCTTGAACATGCTGGAAATTGTGGTGTTTTTTTTTTTCTAACTTTTGGTTGCTTTTTGCTATTCTTTTTTTAAATTTGTGAGAATTGAAAGTCTGTATTTATTTTACACTCAAGCGCTTGTTTTTCATCTATGGGTGAGGTAAAAAATATGCTGTCCAAATGAGTATATATATATGTGAAAAGACAAAGATGAAAGTATAGTTTCATAAATGCCTATTAAACACTTTACAAATAAAAACCCTGCACAAAGATGGAGTTTATTCTGGGGATTTTTATTTTTTTCTTACTCTCTACTGTTGTTTTTCTCCCCTGGATACTCAACTGTACATTAAAATTCTACATGTCTGTAAGAAATACTTAAAAATGTCATTTGTAAATAAGCAGAGATGTAATTTTTTTCAGTCTTTGTCAGCAATTTGGGCTCATTGATGCGAGTGTTACAAAGATCAATCTTTGCAGACTGCTGCACTGCACTTATCTAGGCCTATCCATCATTATGGCTGTTAGAGCCACAGTACATGTAGCAATGTGCAATATTTCATGGCTCATATCAGCTGACAGGTCTGTCCCACTGAGGGCACGCTGGGTCATTAGTCCTGTTAGCTGCTCTCTGAAGACTTTCATGCCTCTACCTCTCTTCCATCACCTGCTCTGCTTTTGTTGTGAGTGCAACTTTTAATTCGTGTTTGTGGGGCGTAAAAAGAGCCTCCTCAGCAGAGTGGAATAGCCGCCGGGTCACTGAGACTCTAATAATGACCTGAGGGAGATGTTGACCCAGGATCTCTTGCACTCTGACGGATTGGCCTGCAACACAAAGGCCATCGCTGACAATGGGGGGTGGCTAATAGAGAAATATTCATCAAAGTCCTGACACCTCCCCTGAGGAGTGCAGGGCTCTCTTACAGAAACCACAAACATGAAGGCTGCAGCGTCCTGGAGCCATTTTCTGCTCCCTCTGCTGCTCTGTGGTTTATTGGAGTCAGCATTCCCGGGTCAGACTTAAAAACTAATTCACAGGAAAGAAGTGAGTTCATCCAAAATGCCCCACACCAGCGCTTTTAGAAGAGAGTTGGTAACTCCATAGTGTGTCTGTGTCCTATTCTCGGCTGGCAGGGTGTAGGAGGCACAGAGTAAAGTGGCTGTAGTCTCACAGGCCACTATTACTCCTAGACTCCTCAACTCTCACGGTTCATTAGCACTCCAGACAAGGGAAAGGCGAGCACAGGTGTCACTTGACAGGGCCATTAAGAAAATGGATGACCCTCCCAAACCACATTCCGTCCCTGCCACACCGGCAAGGTCACGCTGTCCCAATTCCTACTCTCTTGGACACAGCACTTAGTTTTCCTCTTACAGAACTAGAACTATGCAGGAAACTTGGACTCTGGAAGAAACTCAGTTTCCTGTCACATCTTTTTTTTCTGATAAGGTCATATGGAGTAAATTGGACAAGCTGAGTGTATTCAGCGCCACATATTCGTCACTCAGGCTGTCACTTGCGATAAAGTGTGCTGTGTTGCCCCCTAAGGACGGGTTTGTGAAGTGCAAGTGAAATCCGTAAAAGGCAGGACACAGTGGATTTAAAGTGTCCACCCAGTTCTGTTTCCTCTTCACAGAGGATCAAAGATATTTGTTTTTAAAAACAAAATTTCTGAGGAGAGCAAAATGATCACTTTACTTTAACAGATTTGGGTAGAAAGCCGATGAATGTGCATAGTCACATAATACAAAAAAAACCTTCTTAAAAAGAACACATTTAATGTGTATCCATTTTAAGGTCACATTATAGGTTTTGGCCTAGATTTAGGTCTACCCTTGGGCTGGGTCATTCCAGAACTAAAGTTTCTTTTGTTGAACCTCCTTATTATTTTGAAATGTAAAAATCCTTCTATTTAGCTTTCCCACAAACACTTGGAGATTTCTGACAAGTACTATATTTTACAGTTAGTGTATTTTATTAGACACATTTTCTCCTCCTTAGCCCTTACACTAGTCTTTTTAAACCTTAACATGACTCAATATAATCATATTTTCTTGCTTTCTTTAAGCCCACGCATAAAGACCATAAAGCAAATACCAGATTTCTTTTATTCACCTGTGTCTGACTTTTTCAACACCTTTTGACAGATGTTCAGTTCTGACACTGTTGTGCCATCTCATCTCAACTTGGTGATATATTTCTATATACCAAGGAATTTTAATGCTAATACATTTTCTTTCTTCAAACTGATTACCAATCAACAACGAGATCCAACTGATACTGAGTGTTGACCGTGTTTGGCATTTTGCAGTGACAGATTTTGTTAAATGCCTACCGTTAAAAAACAAATAAAATTGAAAATTCTGTCACATCACAAATCCAGGTATTTTACAACTGTAGGTACTATGATTGTAATGTAAATACAGGCTATTGTCTATGAAACAAGTTGTTATAAGTTGTAAATGTTAATGATTTGAAGAAATGGCACATTGACTGCAATCTGATAATGATTCACACTGAAGGTCACACAGAGGGGAGAAGTTTCAATCTTGTTGGGGAGGAAGAATTAATTTTACTGCTGCCAGTTTGTACTCGTTCTTCAAATGCCTTACTATTCTCCCTAACCCACAAAGTCATCAATCTCATCCATCTATCCCCCCGCCCTCAGCCCACCCCACACACACATACACACACTGACAGGTTCTGGCAGCTGAGTCAACACCCAAGCTGTGTGTGTGTGTGTGTTCAGCTCAAGTTCTATGTCCATCTAGGGTGACACATAAGACTGAAATAAATGGAAACAAATGTTAATATACCTTAAAAGAAAGTGAAAAATGTTACAACAAATTCAGGTGATGCATTGAAATAAGACACTAAAGTAGTTATGCACTACAAACAGGACAGATTTGAAGAAAATATAAAAGTAACATTAAATACTTTAAAAATAATTATTACCCTGCCTTAATTCATTACTTAATAATACAATAACACAAATAATGGCAGAGGCAACCACAGAGTCACACCCTTTTTTAAAATACAAACAAACAAAAAAACCTAACTTTTTATAATGCGGAAAATCAGAGCAATAAATGCTGCTGTGAAGTAAAGTGTAACTGACTGTTGTAGCTGCTCAGCAGTTGGTTAACATTGTTGGATTCTGCTCTTCACGCAATATTTTCAGTTAGGGAGAGATATGGGCTCCAGGCAGGCCATTCAAATACACAAAAGTAATTAAGATTTTTGTTGAAAACACAAAAATATGTTTCTCTCCTTTTTGGTTGACAAAAAGGTTCAAATGAATGACAGTAGAAATTCAGAAAATATACCAACCTTTTTGGTGTTTAGTTGTGTATGATGTTATAACTACTCTCCAAAACAGTTGCAAAATACAGGTTTATATAGAGATTAAAGTGACAAACAAAAATGTACATATAAAAGAGAAGAATATTTAATAAAACTGAATTTTTTATCCCTTCTTGTAGGGTGAGGAGCACTGTCACACGAGAGGAGCTGGAAGTAGAGCTGCTGCTCCTCCACATCGAGAGGAGTCAGCTGAGGTGGCTTGGGCATTTACATCGCATGCCCCCCGGACGCCTCCCTCGGGAGGTGCTCGGGTCCTGTCCCTCTGGGAGACCTAGGGGAAGACCTAGGACTTGCTGGAGCGACTACGTTGCTCGGCTGGCCTGGGAGCGCCTTGGGGTCCCCCCAGAAGAGCTGGAAGAAGTGTCGAGGGAGAGGGAAGTCTGGGTGTCCCTGCTCAGACTGTTGCCCCCGCGACCCGGCCCCGGATAAGTGGTTGATGATGGATGAATGGATGGATCCCTTCTTGTAAATGTCATTAAAATGAGCTTTTCCCTAAAACGATCAACTGTGTCTATAAAGAAACTGTTATAAGTGTGTCAAAAATAATGATGCTTTAGATAACAGCAGAATGATAGCAGTAATAAGAGGAGCAGTGTCAGGAGGAGGTGCTGACGGTGATGAAGGAGGACTAATATTTTCCCGTTAGCGAGCACCACAGCAGAGATGGCCCACTGTGAGGTCTTGAGCAGTGGCTGGGTGATTAATGATGACAGGGTGTGGAGCTGCTTCAATTAGACGCCAGCTCCAGCCTGGCTTACTATTGCTGCTGACAGCCAGAACAAAGAGAGAGGGAGAGAGACAGAGAGAGAGAGTAAGAGAGAGAGAGCTCTCCAGAAAAAAAACATTAACCTCAGCTCCATGGCTACCACCTATATGTTTAACATCAGGACACTATTCAGAGCCTCCAGCATCCAGCAAAGCCTGTCTAAAGGGCCTGTCATACAGGCTTTATTTCTGCGACTGACTCTCTTACATGCCTGTTTCAGCTCCTCTCTCCTTCACGTTGGTGAACAGGGAAACTGCAGCACATTGTTGCCTCTGACAACAGTTACATTAAAGTCTTCCAGGTTGGTGGACAGGCCGTGTCCTGGTGGCTTCCTCCTGCACTTACATGAATTGTATGTTTGACTGGTTAGATGGTCATGTTTTTGTTTGATTACTAAAACTTGATTACTGCAGTTTGTCAAGGAATGAATAACAACTGTGGACGAGGGCTTTTGTTTTTCATCTAAAGTTGGAATCCATCCATTTAAACCCAAGAGTAAAAGTTCAAATTCATACAGGGTGTTTTGCTGTTAGCAAGCTAGCTAGCATAGTGCAAGACAGTATGAAGCCAAAATGTTTTATAAACTTTAATCAAACATGTTAGCAGAAGAAGTCGTGTAGTGTTTGGTGTGATCAATTAATATAACAATGTCATTGTTTATTAGAGCAGAACAGCTGCAGCCAAGTCATAGAGTGAAATTATTCGTTTTTATTTTCTTATCAAGAATGTAAACATGGTTTAAAAAATATCCCCTATTAAAATTATTATAGTGGTGTCATTTGTAATGTTTTACAACACCACTTTTTTCCATTTTAATAAGGTTTCCATCATTCTACTGACAACCAGTGACATTTAAAAATCCCAATGCTGAGTCAGTAGAAGCAGCTTCATCATTTTATTCTGCCATGCATAAATATTCAAAATAACTTTAATAATTTTAAACCTGTGTAGTTCAAGCTTTTGGTCTATTATTGTATTGTTTCCCTCGTTGGTTTGACTAATTTATGTATAAATAATAAAGACAGGCTGTCATCTCAGTTGAAGATTCGGATGAAGTAATACTTCTTTTAATTTACTTTTCAGCCGGTGCTGAGCTTGGCAAACTCCACTGGCCTGGAGGTGGAACGCTGCCCAGAGCTGCTGTGGTCTCTCCAAGTTCCAGTGGTGTGAGTGAGCACCATTAATAGACATACCCTCCCTAACCACCAGTGGAGAAATGAACTTTTCAATCACAGTACATTGCGCTGCTAATAGTGCTTAGACCGTGATTCCAGCTGGATTCCATTTGTTGCCTTATTGGGAGTTAGCGGTGGGGATGTCACGAGCTTTTGGAAATGAACGTGCCTTGGCGAGGAACAGGCGGCACTGCTGACAGTCGTGATTCATGCTCTTTGACAACTTTTTTCTCTTCCACTCCAGGACAGTCTGTGGTTGTAATGTACTCACTTTAAGTATCATCGGCCTTGTGTCTGTTTTGCGTCTCCTCCAGACTCATAGGCTGCCATTATGATGATTGCACTGGTCTTAAACCGCCTCCACTACAGGCCAACATACACAGTTAGTATCCACTTCATAAAAGCTGCTTTTACTGTTGTGGCATTGCTGCGGCTGCAGTAATGGATCGTTGGCCCTTTCTTTAAAATAATTCTATAGGCCTGTCCAGGATAATAGGCGATGTAAAAATGTAGTGAGCAATAAGCACAGAAAAAGTGAAACGTGATTGACAGGAAGGACATCATTTACCAAGGACATCCACTTAGGAAATAAGAGGTTGGAACAAGAGTGAACATGACTATGCAATACATTTAATAATAACATTAGGGCTGTAAACGTAAATGTGTTCATTAATTTGTTATTTTTTTAAGGAAATGGCACAGTATATCCAATAATTCCCCTGTCCCTCCATTTATGTTTGCTCATAAACAGAGTTGATACACATGCTGTTATTTGGACAGATTGTTGGGAAACCGTTTTTGTTTTTCATGAAGCACCTTGCGCTTAAAATACCCTCCCAACACCCAACATGATTTGTGGAGCACAGAGTATGAAGTAAGTCTATATCTGACAAAGAGACTGACGTACACCTGGCTATGTGTCTCCTCGTTAGTATAGTGGTGAGTATCCCCGCCTGTCACGGAGGAAACTGGGGTTCAATTTCCTGACGGGGAAACCTTTATACAGTATATAATGATTCTATCCATTGTTCTTGATACATTTTCCCTGTGATTTTTGAAATTTTTGAAATTGTTGACATCCCTAAAATATACATATATTTTTATATAACTGTTCAGAATTGTTTAATCTAAGATATTTTCAGAACCCAAGCGTTTGAGAAAACCCATGCAGACATTGTTAGAATATGCAAACACCACACAGAAACACCATCAGTTACCACTGTGTATCAAACCATGATCTTCTTGCTGTAAGGCTAGATCACTTACTGCCTCAACCATGTGGTCACAGCTTACTTACGTGATACCTTTTAGTTTTTTTTACATTCTTCATCTGTTTTTACTTGACAGTTAGTGTAGTATTCTTGCCTGTTTTCTGTCCAGTTGTAGCTGCTAGTTGTAGTATAATTTACAGTAATGTTTAATCATTACCTTTTGATTTCCTGCCAGCTGAGGATACTTCTTGGCTTTCAGTAACGTCAGCACTAGCCATTGTTAACAACGTTGTATTTTGTCATGTTACAAAAATAAACATTACTTTTAATTCCACATTCCTGTAGCCTTTGATCATCCACTGCTATCCGTTATTAGTCTCTCATCATCATGGTTCATGTTAGCGACTCCACACTAATTTTCTGTGTTTGATTTAGTGGGACTGTGGCAGTGTGTGCGTGTGTGTGTGTGCATAGTTTGAAATTAGCAGAGAGTTTGTGGGTTGTAGAGAGAGAGCGACTTTTCCCCCCCTAAAGGCAATGTGATTATGTTTACTTTTTGGAGAACCCTTTTGGACTTTCACAGACCATGCTCAGACTCTGAGAATCCCTCCTTCTCCTTCTCTTTTTCAATCACATGCCTGGGATGGTGCTTGGGGCAAAAAGAGAGGAGAAGAAGGAGTAAGAAGAAGTGAATGCAGGGCCTGGCTCTGTTGAGCATGCATTGGGGGAAGCTCTTAAGGGCTTTGGGGTAGAATTGGTCCCACTTCCTGAATGACCCTCAGTGGTCCGCCAGCACTCATGTCATAGTCTGGTGGTGGGGCCCAGTCATCATCTCTCTGACGATGACTGGGGGGGGGGGGGGGGGGGTGTTATTATTTGAAATTTCAGTAGCAGACTTCTCTTTTCTCATTCTACCATTTTTGCTTTGCTGATCTCTATATTCAGCCCACGTTTGCAAACATTCTCTGTTTTTGTCAATGTAGCGCAGTACTTTACCACTGGCTCTCTTTTTACTTTTTTCTTTCTTTTCAACTTTAGACAATATCTCACTTAGTTTAACTGAATGGTGCTTAAGGATCCCTTCCGTGGGAATCCATATTCAGCTACCCAGACTTCACAACATTCAAGACATGTTCACCATATTTTTCTTTCATCACACACATGCACGGAGAATCCCAATCGGGTTTCTCATCTTTACTGTTTCCCATGGATGCACCCTTTTTTTAAAAGTATAATGTGTAATTTTGAGTTCGTTGAGCTGTCGAGGTGACAGCTGGAATCCACACACAGCGGTCCTCCCGTCTGTCAGCTTTCGAGTAAGAGGCAGGACAATTTTCTGAAGACATCCTGGATGATCAGTCACTGTCTGCGCCTGGATCCACGGTCAATCCTGACATCCCACTTCTGACACCAAGTTTGTCATAGAAATTTTTACGTAATTTGGAAAAATCAAAAGTCAGCAGAGTTTGTCTTTGGTGGATTTATTCTAAATATCTTGGCCAAGAGAGCCACTCCTAACTCCTGTCTAATATAGGTGTTAGAGACGACTGACCCCCTGTTAGGTGGGCTCTCTTTTATATGGTTTTACATGGTTACATCACACAGTTGTTCAATTTCAGTTCAGACAAAGGACAACATCATTAACTTTCCAAACTTCCTCTAGATTAGTAATTCCCCTGTTTATGGTCACCAAAATCAATTACCTAGATTCCAACCTAGTCAAGAGGAACACACATTTCCTAAGAAGTAAACAATTACAATTTATAACCACGTGACCAAGAGCTTGCAGACACTTCCCAGTAAACATTTAACTTAAAGCCATAATACTATAAGTTATATAGCCCAAGCAGTTCACTTGCACACAATCAACGATTCTTTCCTTCAGTAATATAACATTTTCCTACACAACCCTTCAACTTAGTCCTGTTGGGTAAAGATGTTAAAAACAGAGGATAAGGGTTAGACATGACCTGTTTACAGTAAAACCTATGGACAAAGTCAGGTTCTGGTTGTACTGATGATATACATGGAAGTCAATACAGAGTACTAACAAGTGCCCTGCCTCCCATCCACAGCCTCCCTCAGTGCTAGTTTCTTGTCACTCATGATTTATGGCATCAGGACCCCGGCACAGCTTACGCTGCCAGTTCCAGCGATGTTCCCTTGATGCTTAATGAACTCTGACAAACTTCTTTTCCCTTGTTCTGTTGTAGCCTTTTCCCTCCATTGGTCCGCCCCTCCTTGTTTAAAATGCATGGCACACATGGGGTTAGTTGTTGCCCTTTGAACATTTCTCAAGAGGCCAGTTTCTACAAATAAAGCAGCAATTTAGTGTCAAGATCTTTGCTTGTGTGTCAGCTGGAGGCTTGTTCCTAATTAAAAATGAAATTAATTGACTTTTTGTGGTGTGTGAAGCTTGTCCTTTTGGATTAGTATAGATTTTAGCCTCATTTTTGGTGATTTTTTTTTATTGCTACTTGTTCTACCCGTTAACCATGTGACTGGACCATGAATTATATACCCATCTTGTAATGACACAGAGAAACCCAGTTGCATTTTTTAAATGTAGAATGAAGTTGGGATGGTGCCTCCAGCTTCTTAATACACGCTTTATGGAAATTATACAGAATCTTCACGTGGTCTCTGTTGGCCTCTGATGTCTGTTTAATAGAATTACAGGATTTCCCCCAATACTTTGGCTGCTCCAGTGTAGTATGTTTGCCAATTACAGTACAGCTTTGCACAAGTTCAGAATAGGATCAGAACTTATAGTTAAGCATTTCATAGTTTCACCACTATCAGCAGCCTGAATCACTGGTAAAAGGCTGTGCTTCTTGTTGTTCTTTATTTGTTATTCTACTTGTGTAACAATAACCCAGACTTCTACTATAACTATTTATATACATTTGTATTTACACCTATGTCTGCTATAACTTACCTGCATTGTAATTTATAATGAAGAGATCATCGCATTACGTCATGAAATTAATCTGCCGCTGGATGGCGCTGCTAACTCTTGATGTAGACCAGTAATTGACGACAGAAGAAGAAAGAGGCGGAAGCGGGTGCCTGAAGTACCTGCCTCAGAACTTGTTTGTTGTTATTCCCATTAAATTTCAGGTAAGACCTGTAAAAAACGGAGAATATGGTTTAGTTTCTGTTTTAAACATATTTCTGTCATTTCTGCTTTGGGTTAAAGTGACACTATTGTGTTCGTTGAGGTTTACAATAAAACAATTTATCAAATCCTGCTAGTGCAGTTAGCCCCAAAGCCCCTTCAAACTGGGGTCCATTCTTGAAGTGGACTTAGTTAATTAACTCCGTATTAGAGGGAACTCTGACTTTCCGGTTTCACGAAGCAGGCTGGACCGTGACGCTGACTCGGTTGCTATGGTCACATACGCCGTGGGGTTTTAAGGGTCTTAAGTCTGAGTTAAGCAGTCAGTCCGCCGTCATATACAGGACGTGACCGTTTTTTGAGGAGCCTGCGGACCTCGCAGCTGAGTTGGTTAGAAGAAATCGATGCCAGGAAAGAATCCTGACACCATAACTAGATATTTTACCACTCCCCGAAAGTTTTTTGTTAGTGCCTACGTTTTTCTTCGCAATCTATTATAAAACTGAATTCGATTATCAGCCCACATTTCAAACTCATCGTAGTCGTGCTCTTAGCTCGTACCAACTACATTATACTGCATTTCCTTTTTACGAACGGTAATTTCCTTTATAATAGTGATGACTCCCGAGTCATATTAAATATTTATTCATATTGAACTCACGAATCGCTCACAAATTACTCACTGCGAACTAATCACACTCTGCGAACTAATCACTCACTGCGAACTAATCACACTCTGCGAACTAATCACTCACTGCGAACTAATCACACTCTGCGAACTAATCACTCACTGCGAACTAATCACACTCTGCGAACTAATCACTCACTGCGAACAAATCACTCTCTGCGAACTAATCTTTCACTGTGAACTAGGCTATCATGGTAAACGAATCACTCTCTATGAACTAATCTTTCGCTGTGAACTAATCTTTCCCCGTGAACTAATCTTTCGCCTCGTTCTCGCAGATTCGTTTCATTTGTCACGTGAAAGAGCTCGGGTCTTTTTTGCTCTCGTTCATCTTCACATTGTGGTGTGTTTTTATTTCTTAGCTTTTCACATGGTTTTAATTACTTATGGCATTTTGTGTACTTTGTAGACTTTGTCAGCGGAAGCAAACCATGTTGCCTTATTTAGTGTCGGAGAACCGCGGCCTTCTTTTCAACGCCCACAATAGGGCTAAAGCGCCACCTGCTTGACATGATGAGTTCAAGATTCGTTCACGACTCGTTCATTTTACTGTTCGAGAGTCAAAGATTCGAATCAATAAAAAGAGTTGGTCTTCCCATCACTACTTTATAACATCGGTGAAGCTGAAAACTAGTGGTGTCGTTCGCGAGTGATTCGTTAAAAATGAACGACTCTTTCATATGTCTCGTGCCTCCCGAGTCATATGAAATATTTGTTCATATTGAACTCACGAATCGCTCACAAATTGCTCACTGCGAACTAAACACACTCTGTGAACTAATCATTCACTGCGAACAAATCACTCTCTGCGAACTAATCTTTCACTGTGAACTAATCTTTCACTGTGAACTAATCTTTCGCTGTGAACTAATCTTTCTAACTATTTTTTCGCTATGAACGAATCACTCTGTGTTAACTAATCTTTCGCTGTGAACTAATCTATCGCCGTGAACTAATCTTTCTAACTATTTTTTCGCTATGAACGAATCACTCTGTGTTAACTAATCTTTCGCTTCGTTCTCGCAGATTCGTTTAATTTGTCACGTGACAGAGAGTTCGGGTCTCTTTTGCTCTCATTCATTCACTCATTCTTCACATTGTGGTGTTTTTATTTCTTAGCTTTTCGCATGGTTTTAATTGCTTATGGCATTTTGTGTACTTTGTAGACTTTGTCAGCGGAAGCAAACCATGTTGCATTCAGTATTTAGTGTCGGAGAACCGCAGCCTTTTTTACAATGCCCACAATAGGGCTAAAGCGCCACCTGCTGTAAAACGAATGAAATGATGAGTTCAATATTCGTTTACGACTCGTTCATTTTACTGTTCGAGAATTAAAGATTCGAATCAATAAAAAGAGTTGGTCTTCCCATCACTACTGAAAACGTATTCGAGGCAACGGTGTGCCGATGTGGGCGGAGCGTTGGTGTTGATCTGAAACACACACTTCCAGCAGTGTTCTGTGAAGAAATGTGCAAGAAGACATTGGTCCATCACTACTGCAACACGTCAGCAAAGATACTTGTGAATAAATTAAAACAGTATTTAAATGAGTAGTTTACAGTAGTTAAATTATAACTAGAAAACTGCCGTGTGTCATTTTCCTAATAGTCCACATACCACAGCAGAATTATTCAGACATATGAAGAGACAACTATTGTCTGGGAAGATGATCACACAGATCTATTATCTCCAATAGGGGGCATAATTTATTCTTCCCTGTTTGAATGATATTCTTTTATTTGGTCTTAATTTGGTGCCACGTCCTTTTTATCCCTGTTAGGTTAAACCTGGATTAAAATTTAAAACGGGCAGGTGTGGACACAGCGAGAGATATATATTGATAATTTTAGAACAGTTCTGCAATTAACGAGGATGAATAACTTTCTCATCAGTATTCACACATTCACTCTATCTGTAATCTGTTACCAAGCCTTTTCGCTGTCTTCTGCGGTTGTGACGCAGTTGTCCTTTTTATTTTACAGCGTGTCGTAATCGTTATAGACATAAAACAGTATTTCTTGCTCCACCGGAGTGAAGCAAAAGGTGGAGGACATGACATGTTTCGTGTTATCTGCGCTCAACTGAGATAACCTTCATATGTAGGTGGGCACGAGTGCCACTCAGACTTACGAGAGCTCATTGTAATCAGCCGTTGTGAAACCGAAAAGTTGCTCTTATTGTAAACTAAAAGATAGGTTGGAACGTTTTGCACGTTGACCTCAATCCTCCTTAGGGTGACCCGATGACTGAGTCCACTGATGCTGGGTAAGCCTGAGCTGAGAGGAGATAAACCTGTGGCTGAGAAGCAGGCTCCAAACTGTTGCGTTTGTCTCATTATACAGTGTATGGTTACAGTCTTTATCAGACACTGAAGTGAGACATTGAGAGAATGTCCACGAAGGGAAACTCATTAACTCAGTGTCAGTTTCTATATGCTGTTTTTTTGTCTGGTCTCCAGGATGGCACGGTGGGGGGCAATTTTCTCAATAATTGCTGCCCTTGGAGGAGCAGCTCTTTTGTCCTCAGTGCACAAGATAGATGAGGGACACACTGGCGTTTACAACAGGTGAGCCTGCTTTACATTTTAGTTGTTATTTTAAAAGTTATACATTTACTACTACTACTATATTAAATGAAGTTTATCTGCTTCAGTGATATGTGCAAGAAGAATATCCTAAAGATACATAAGGTTAGCCTGGGAATATCAAAAAATAATTTAGTTAAAAGTAGCTAAAAGCTGCCAAAATGTACATTCAAAGTGTTTGTCTGATAATGCCAAAGGGTGAGTGTAAATACTTTATGTAATAGCTAAATAATATGATATTAAAATATAGTGCTCCTTGATTAAGGTCAATCATATATACACTCACCGGCCACTTTATTAGGTACACCTGTCCAACTGCTCGTTAACACTTAATTTCTAATCAGCCAATCACATGGCGGCAACTCAGTACATTTAGGCATGTAGACATGGTCAAGACAATCTCCTGCAGTTCAAACCGAGCATCAGTATGGGGAAGAAAGGTGATTTGAGTGACTTTGAACGTGGCATGGTTGTTGGTGCCAGAAGGGCTGGTCTGAGTATTTCAGAAACTGCTGATCTACTGGGATTTTCACGCACAACCATCTCTAGGGTTTACAGAGAATGGTCCGAAAAAGAAAAAATATCCAGTGAGCGGCAGTTCTGTGGGCGGAAATGCCTTGTTGATGCCAGAGGTCAGAGGAGAATGGCCAGACTGGTTCGAGCTGATAGAAAGGCAACAGTGACTCAAATAACCACCCGTTACAACCAAGGTAGGCAGAAGAGCATCTCTGAACGCACAGTACGTCGAACTTTGAGGCAGATGGGCTACAGCAGCAGAAGACCACACCGGGTGCCACTCCTTTCAGCTAAGAACAAGAAACTGAGGCTACAATTTGCACAAGCTCATCGAAATTGGACAATAGAAGATTGGAAAAACGTTGCCTGGTCTGATGAGTCATGCGCCATGTCATAAAGCTGGAATCATCTCAGACTGGTTTCTTGAACATGACAATGAGTTCACTGTACTCAAATGGCCTCTACAGTCACCAGATCTCAATCCAATAGAGCATCTTTGGGATGTGGTGGAACGGGAGATTCATTGCATATCCCTTTTTTTTTAATCAAAAAAAGTCATGTAGGGAGCTTCCAGAATCTCTTGAGAAAAAATACAATCCTGCATTAAAGATCCATCCATCCATCCATCCATTTTCATCCGCTTATCCGTTACCGGGTTGCGGGGGAAGCAGTCGCCACCCAAATCACATTGCACCATCCCTAAACCTTCCTGCGGGTGGTGAGTCCACTGGAAGATTAAAGATAAAATGCAAATATATAAATAAAACTTGTTAAATATGCATTGTAGCATAAATAAAATCTAAATAAAATACTGATACAAGTTGCTATTGCAGCTTAAAAAGCACACCTTCTCTGGGCTGCTATTTATCACTCATAGCAAACTCATAGCAAACTAATTTGTTTATATACACTATATTACCAAAAGTATTCGCTCACCTGCCTTGACTCATACTATGAACTGAAGTGCCATCCCATTCCTAACCCAGAGTTCAATATGATGTCGGTCCACCTTTTGCAGCTATTACAGCTTCAACTCTTCTGGGAAGACTGTCCACAAGGTTGAGGAGAGTGTTTATAGGAATTTTTGACCATTCTTCCAAAAGCGCATTGGTGAGGTCACACACTGATGTTGGTCGAGAAGGCCTGGCTCTCAGTCTCCGCTCTAATTCATCCCAAAGGTGTTCTATCGGGTTCAGGTCAGGACTCTGTGCAGGCCAGTCAAGTTCATCCACACCAGACTCTGTCATCCATGTCTTTATGGACCTTGCTTTGTGCACTGGTGCACAGTCATGTTGGAAGAGGAAGGGGCCCGCTCCAAACTGTTCCCACAAGGTTGGGAGCATGGAATTGTCCAAAATGTTTTGGTATCCTGAAGCATTCAAAGTTCCTTTCACTGGAACTAAGGGGCCAAGCCCAGCTCCTGAAAAACAACCCCACACCATAATTCCTCCTCCACCAAATTTCACAGTCGGCACAATGCAGTCTGAAATGTACCGTTCTCCTGGCAACCTCCAAACCCAGACTCGTCCATCAGATTGCCAGATGGAAAAGCGTGATTCATCACTCCAGAGAACGCGTCTCCACTGCTCTAGAGGCCAGTGGCGGCGTGCTTCAGACATTTGCAGCTAGAATAGTCATTTACCACATTAGCAATGTATAAAGTGTATTTCTGATTAGTTTAAAGTTATCTTCATTGAAAAAAACAGTGCTTTTCTTTCAAAAATAAGGAAATTTCTAAGTGACCCCAAACTTTTGAATGGTAGTGTATATATATATATATTTATTATATTATATTTATTTTCTATACAATATACCTGCTATTATTTTACATATATTGATATAAATTCTATATATACTGCATATACTCTGCATATGTTTATCTCTGCTGCTATTTTTATGACTGTACAGTACAGACATATAAAGTACTGTACTGTACAGTACTCTTTCCAATAAGATGGACGAGCTGTCTGTGCTGTACAACCAGCCGATATACCAGGAGTGCAGCCTGTTCATCTTCACGGAGACTTGAATTACTGACAGCGTAACCGATGTTAATGTGGACCTACAAGGATTTACGGCAGTGAGAGCCGACAGAGACACAAAGGCATGCGGGAAGAGCACAGGTGTGGGACTCGTACGTTAATAACGTTGGTGGACATGTCTCTGTAAAGAAAGTTTTATGTTGCCCAGACTTGGAGCTATTAGCCGTTAGGCTCCGGCCATACTATCTACCGAGGGAGTTTAGTCACGTGATCTCTCTCTGTGTTTACATCCCTCTGAGAGCTGTCGCAGCCACTGCCTGTGAGAAAATTCACACCATCACAGCAGGGCTGCGGACACAACACCCTGAGGCTTTCATCCTGATTTCTGGTGACTTTAAGCACGTCACTCTGGACTCTACACTGGCTGACTTTCATCAGGTGGTGGATTGCACAACTCCACAAGGAGTAACAGGACAAGGAAAGTAAATTACTTGTCATTGTGACACAGCACACCACTGCACACAACGAAATGTGACCTATCACCAAAAGTGAACAGTGGGCATCTTTAAGCGCCCAGGGAGCAGTGTGTGGGGACAGTGCCTTGCTCAGAGCACCATAGTGCTAACTTGGCAGCTGGTGGACTCGAACCTGAAGCGTTCCGGACCCAAGTCCGCTTCCTTAACCACTAAGCCACCACTGCTCAATTGACAATTGACCTTCTGTATGTTAATGTGAAAAAAGCATACAGTCACTGCCCTGCCTGGTGTACGTCCAGCCACAGTACACCTCTTTGGTCCAAAGGCAGTCGATCGTCAAACATTCCATCAGGGGATGGACTCCTGAAGCTGAGGATGAACTGAGAGACTTCCTTGACACCACAGACTGGGATGTACTACTGAGTCCACATGATGAGGACATCAAGGGAGCTACCCACCGGCTTACGAATTACCTTATTTTCCGCACTATAAGACGCACTTAAAAGCCTTTAATTTTCTCAAAAGTTGACAGTGCGCCTTATAACCCGGTGCGCCTTATGTATTACTTCTGGGTGTGCTTACTGAGCTCGAACCGATTTTATAAAGCCACACAGGGCATCACACATGATGGCACACAACTGAAGCACACTGGGAGCTAACAATGACGTTGAACTCTGTTATCACAATTAGAACATAATCAACAACAATCGTTACAGTATGGTTGTGTAACCCAAATGCATGTGCCGTGCAACGTCGCTTCATGCCTCCCAACACCCGGAGACTCTACGTTGTGTTTTTGAATCGTCGATGTATGGTGCGATGCAGGACGACTTAGACGCATGGCTGTCGATTTGTTCAAAAACTCTTTTTATTTCTCCTTTTTTATCGATACAGGTAAAACACACTCTCTGCAAAACAACTTCCGCACGGAACAGCGTCAAAACAACAATACGGTGACCATCCAGAACAAAAATAGTGACAACTGCCTGACTCTGGAGGGTAGTACAAAAACAACAGCGCCCTCCTGTGTCCAACGTAGGTCACTACCCTTTTCCACAAATCTCCATCCCTATTGATCTGCGGCTCCATGCACGGCCATCTCACCGATATTGTCAAAAAGTGAAGCAAACTAATTCGGGGCTTGCCATCATTCCGGGTGGATTAACCAAAATATTTCTAACCGCTAAATATTGGTGTTAACAGGGCGTTAAAGTTAAATTGTGAGCTGCGTAGGAGCATTGGATGACAGAAGGCAACACATACACCAAGACAGGGAGGCAACGCCGGGCGAATTACGCCACTATCTGCGAATGGATCGTAGGTGTCTGGGCTAAGGTATGAGTCTTGAATGTCGTCCAAGCTTTCATGAAGGCTGGAATCATCACTGAACAGCTAATTAACAGCAACGAGACTGACTCGGATAATGACGAGAGGGATCAGGCCATGCTTGATTGGCTGTTTTGTTTCGCTTAATGCGCCTTATAACCCGGTGCGCCTTATGGTCCGAAATACAGTATCTTCATTTCTGTTTGGATGTGGTTGCCCATGCAAAGACTGTACAGTGTTACCCTAATAACAAACCATGGGTAACACAGGAAGTCAAAGATGTCCTCAACAGGAAGAAGGAAACCTTCAGGAGTAACAACAGGGAGGCGATGAGAACAGCACAGAGGGAGGTGAAACGCTGCCTGAAGGAGGCTAAGGACATCTACAGGAGGAAAGTGAAGCAGAAACTGCAACAAAACAACATGAAGGAGGTCTGGGATGGTGTGAGACCCATCACAGGCAATAAAACTAAGACCAGCTCAGAGGAGGGGAGAGTGGAGAAGGCAAACAGTTTGAACAACTTCTTCAATCAGTTCAATCACTACCCCCCCCACCCACCGCAGCCTCCTCTGCTCCCTCTTTCAGTGGCCTACCACCCAAGCTCCACCACATCACACCTTCCACTCTGCCGGTACCAACACCACCTTCAACCTGCCCACCTGCAACTCCTCTACTCTCATCC